CTCGAATCCCGCAGAAATACCTTTAATATCCATATCATAAGCTCAAAGAATGGCACACACGCATACAATCCGTTTGGGGGTGCACTTCTGCTCAGTTACGATGTGCGAGGCATATCGCACCTGTTGCGTTCGCTCACCCAACGTTCGCCCTGCAAAATCTCCCTCCTTCTTTCACTCTCTCGGTGGTTCCAGTGAGCGCGCGCGCGCACGCGCGCTTTTGTAGCGCCATTGCTTATCATGGCGCATTCGAAATCAGAGAGATACGGATCACCGTCGAAAGAGGTTACCGCTGAACTCCCTATTCTGAATGCAAACCCCTACCACCGAACGTGACAAAGATCGCTTTGTGCGTCAAAGCGTTTCTAGGTGATCCGTGTAGTTACAATTCCTGCGGATTCAACGTTGCAATTGAGGAAAATTGTGGTTTCTTTAATCGCAGTCTCAAGGTAGAGGGACAGCGAACTCGATTTTCAGGCAGGATTTTTGAGAATCGGCAATTCTAGAGGCTGTTTGGGAATAGCAATAATCGAGAATTTCGTCAAAATTTTTCAAAGTTGTGAACTTTGAAATCACTATCGTTGAGAATTACAAACTGTGGAACTGCAACCCTTGAACTTCTGGCACCTTCTAAATTGCAATTCTACAATATCGAAAGCCCTGAATTTCCAATTGTGGAAAATTGCACGCCCTCAAGTCGCGAGGGTAGAAAATTACCAACTGGAAGATCGAATTTCTCGTAAAACTACGAGCCCTACGATTGAAATTCTCGAGTATCCGATGGTTACAAACTCTCAGATTGCCTATTCTTTCCGAAATATGGACAAAAGCGATTCTATTAAGCTTAAACGTTTACGAAAATAAGCAAATGGCAAGTATCGAGAAACTGTTGCATGCCAAATGCCAACAAGTAACGCTTTCACGGGAATTGCTCTAACGCATCGAAGGGAATATCACGAGCAGACGAGAAAGAGAGGGGTGGGAGGAATGCAGAGGGTTTCCAACGAACGGGGAATGTTTAAGTCGAAGAAATCGACTTTGACGTCACGCTTTTCTCGCACGGCGAACGGACGGGAAAATACGCTTCCTTTTAGCACAGACAATGTAGCTTTGATACGACCTTTGACATTACACGGCTGTACTATCGATCTTTTATTTATTAAGCTAAATAGTTCATCAAATTTTAAGCGATGCAATAACATATATATATATACATAATATGTGTATATCGCTCTCCGTGACACATGCATTCCATTTGATTTTACATCAATCTTCCGAATACAGCAATTGACCAATTAATAAAAAACATAACCTATAAATTTCACCTTTCTTCCCAAATCTTCCGAAATACTCTTACAAATAACAAGAATACTCTTAAACTCTAAACGTGTAACGTCTCCAATTTCTAGCAAAAGTGAGGTTAGGTTATACCACGATCGAAAGATCGACACGGCTGATCTTGATGATACGCGATCGAATCGACATCTCGAATGGATACAATTCACGCGTTTCCTCCCCGCGCGCGGAGTGTCCCCGCGAGCGTGTTGGTCGTGCACGAGGCGGTGATCGATACCATCGCACGATTCTTAAGCGGATCGTGCATGTCGTATTGACCGGCAATTTTCGCGCTGAGGAAGGTCATCACGAGACACACGAGAACACAAGGCGAGCACAGGACGTGAGCTGAAGGAACACGATACATAAGAGTGTGGCAGTGCGCGCGGCGAATACGACCTTCGTCGCCACGAATACAAAGGCAGCCGGAGCTATTTCACGTCCGACTAATCTCGAGAAGAGAGAGCAAAGAAGAAAAGCAAGCGCTTATCATCCTCGCGAGAGTGAACCCCTGACTGATCCCTGACCGAGGTGGCTATCGATCGATATATCGAGAATGGAACAGCAGTCGCGCGTCACGCTATATGTAGATATATGTCACCTCTGCGTGTGTGTGTGTATGTGTGTGTGTCACCTTAATATTCGATTCGTGCTATCGTGTCCAACCTGATCGAAACTGTACAGTGGTCACGGTAATTGATTATATATATAGAGCAGGAGGGTAGTAATGGAGGGTAACAGAACGAGAAAGAGAAACGAAGACGTACATTTTTTCTCTATTTTTTTTTTTTTTATATATCATAAGTCGTTGAAGAATGAAGAATTTCTAGTTCGCGGTCGAAAGCATTGAGAACGGAATATATAGGAAGGATGTTGCGACAACGATTGTTCGTTACGTGGTCCGTAGCTGCACGGTAGCGCCATTAGCGCCTCCTCCGAGGAAGCGCACGCGGTCTCCAAGTAGTAAAATCAACGAAATACCTTACACGCTGTTTACCCCCAGCTAAACTCGTCCGTTCGTCGCGTGAACCGTGAGATAACTGATTACATTCGAATTTGAAAGGTGTTCAGGTATAGGTTTTCGTCGTATCGCGGAATTTATCAGGGAACAGTTTCATTTCAGGGTACGAATGGATACTAGAAGAGTTTCTTTTTTTTTTCTTTTATCACTTACGGTCGAGGAGTTTCTCCGGTAGCGTAGAGATAGTCGCGGCTTGAACGAAAAGAAGCACGACGTAGCGATATGGAGAAGAGGCACTGCGACGTCGAGGAGGGGCGGGTTCTGAGATACCTCCGCGGGTCTTGCTTGTTCAGCTTCAGGCAAGGGTAGCACACTACCAAGCAACGACACTGTAAACTGAACACACCGTACAACGACAAACTTTTTTTGCTGTCTTTTCTCTGTTCTATGGCGTGCGTGTTTTACGTCTGTCTTTGTGTGTGTCTCTTTCTTTCTCTTACTCTCTTCTTTTTCTATTCTCGTTCTTCTTGTCTCTCTCTCTCTCTCTCTCGTTTCCGTTTCTTTCTCGCGACGACGATTATAAACGACAACGAGCACACGACCACGAAGCGTTCCGTTTTCTTCTTCTTCTTATTATTATTATTTCTCTTTCTCTTCCTATTACCACTTTCCCCTGTGGATATATTCTCCCGCTAGGTTCCTCGATGAATTCCAAACGAATTCCTCGTTCCCGGTTTCCTCCCTCTCCCGGCTCTTCCGCTTCTTCTTCTTCCTCCTGTTCTTCGTGTCCTTTGTTCTCCTCGCGCCTCCACCTCCTCTTCCAACACCTCTGTTCTTCACCGCAGCGGCAAGGACCCGCCCCGTGTCGCGCTACACGAACGTGTAGTGAATAAAGAGAGCGTAAAACTTGCTCTGCGACAACATTATCCGGCCGGTTATCGGTATCTCGCTGCAGTCGTCATTTCTTCCTTTCTTCCAGTCTCGCCGCCCGCGTCGCAACGAAAATTGATCGCGTTGCGCGCGACGGTCCCTTCCTGGGGGACAGACCCGACGCGTTCTACCGCTCTCTATCCGCGCTGTCACCCCGTTACGCTGCCTCGTCTGACTACGATCCTTCCGTCTTTCCTGCCTTCCTGCCGTCCTTCGTACCCTTAACTTTCCTGACCGAAGGACCGACCGGGTCCTTTCCACTTCCTTTGTCTGTCAGTTCCTTCTGGCACATAGACGCGCGCGCGCGCCTCCTCCTCCTTTCTCTCTCTCTCTATCTACCTTTCTCCTTCTAACGTTCGCCCGACCACACGTCTCTGTTCTTTCGATCTATCTCTCTCTATTTCTCGCCACCCCCTACCCACTCTCTGTCTCTCTCTTACTCCCCTTCTCGCGCTCGTCTATTTCCCTCTATCACTGTATTCCTCCCACCTAGCACTTTCTCACTCTTTCTTCAACCCCTCCCGAAGAACCCCCCTCCCCCCTACTTCTATCTATCTATCTCTCCCTTTCACCCCTTGCCAGTCAATCTATCTCTTTCTCTCTTTCTGTCTTGATTACTATCTCGCTCACACTCAGTTCTCACCACTAGCACACTCTCGTCGGTTCGTCTCCCGATGTTTTCCCTTGTCCGCGTTCCTCTTAACCCCGGTTTTTCATCTAGCTAACCTGGCCACCGGGAATTCACCACCGTTTCACCAGTCCCCGATTATCACTGTCTAAAAGTACAGACACCACACCGTGTCTGGCGCACACTTTTTACTGGCTGGAAAAGCTTCTCCCGAGGACTGTAGCGATTAGACAAACCCGACGCGGACGTTATTGCACCGCCACGCGCCAATCTCGCGCAGCGGACTCGACGGGAACTAGTTTCGAGGCGCCCCGCTATATACCCGCACCATTCGCAACCCGCTACGCGAACCACCCACCACGCTCGACTAACCTGCGCGAGAGATTGTCGCAACTACAAATCCGTACTCACCCAATGACAGTTGCGGTATACACTTCTTCCGTATGAACCTCTGATCGGACCCGTTCCATGGCTATCCGATCGCACCACCTCCATGTTGTTTTCATACGAGCACGATTCATGATAAGAATATGTCGGGGATAAAAATTCGTTCGTTGGTTATTCAAATTGAAGATAATACGGCACGAAGTCGATATCACGGTTAGGATTCGTAAATTCGCACACCCCTTACTTCCGTACCACGAACGGATCAATGAAAATGTACTCCTCCACTGACAGCCCGCCACCCCCGTGATAGCGAGAAACAGGATACCACACCACGCCACCCTTACTATCTTCGCCTAAAAACATTCGCCCGCCGCCTTTCGGTAATAACCGACCGTCTCTGCAAGCTCGCCCGTAATGCTTTCCTTAAGAAACTATTGGCCGGCGATTGTGCTGCAATCTTACTGTCAACCCGGCACCGTCGCCATTATGGTAGCGTGTGGATTTCATCCCTACCGTGAAAACAATCTCGACAGGTTTATTTTTCGATGTTCCCTTTGCGTTTTATATTTTAAGTATACTCCTTTGTTTATTTTCATTTTTGTCTCATCGTGTGCTTTTATGTTTAACGCTACAAAAAGTCGTAATAAAATACTGTTGTTGTTGGTATGAAAACAATAATTCGTTAAAATTATTTGTTTTTTGTTTATTAACGACATGTGTATAAATTTGTACAGAATAGTTTCTATGCGTTGCATTAATACATTTACTTTAAATTGATTCGTGTATCAACTTGGAAATACGTGTAAAAAATATATGTGCTATATATAAATATATGAAATTCTCTTTGTAAAATTTAACGGTGATTTTCTCGACGATGCAACTAAACGTGCATGAATTTCTATCAAACGTCACTCATGTAATTAAAAATTTCGTACGATCAACTTACAACTAATATCATTGATTTAAATACGCCTCGCTATTTCGTTTCGACAATTTACAAATACAAAAGTATGAACCGATTGCTAACATAATAATTAATGGAAGGCCAAGACCAATTGAAATAATCATAATTACCAAATAAGAAAAGTGCTCAGTAGGCGGTGTACCATAACCGATCAAAAACGTCCTGAAAATGATATTAAATTTTCAGTTATTTAAAAATGCGTTAGAATACAAATAATACAATTTATTCAAATAAAATTACCATGTTGAATAATGTGTTCTCTTATAAAAACCATCTCCTGTTGTTCCTAATGATACAATAATTCTTTGTGTAAGCATATCATCAACCTTATCTCCATAATAGCAGTATAACATAGAATTTCTGATAGCACTGGTGTGATTAGATACTTTCAATGGTGGATATTGTATTGTTTCTGTAGAATTTGTTACATCGCGTATTACACTTGTGTAAGAAACTGGTCTCCATTGCAAATAAGCTCCTTCAGTTCTGTAATTGTCCATACTTTTGTAAGGTGGTGTTCTGGCTTCAATAACCTGAAAAAAAATAATATTCAGGTACTATGTATCTTTAGTTAACCTGTTTCTAAGAATTATAATTTAATATTACTTCAAATATGCCAGGTGTATGTTCATCGTCTACAGTCTTTTTTGGATTAACAAGCATTGGAATATTTGGATTTCCCCCACCTACTACCAATAATTCAATAGCAAATCTGCTACGATTAAAGCTTTTATTGGTTTCTATATTATCAAGAATAATATCAACTTGAGTGGAGTTTTCAGTATGTAACATGTAAGGCATAATTTCTGAATGATCAAGGGAACAGAAGCCTTTTAACTAAAACATAAGTAGAAATAGTAGTTGCCCTCCATGTTTAAATTAACAAATTCAGTATTTTGTATTAAAGTCTTACGCTCCCATTGGAAAAACATAGGATATAAAGTATTTGTATTTACAAGATTAGCAATATTTATGAAAGCTGTATCATTTATATCGTTGAATTCTATAATCTAGAAGCAACATTAATTACATTAATTTATTGAGTAATAATAAAAATAGATGCTGAAATTTAAAAATGTGTTACATATATACTGACCTTATTTAATATTACTCCAAAGGTATAAACAGGTTCTTCTGTAAATACTATAGAATCTTTTCTTTTTGCAAGAAAATGTTCCCAACTTATGTTCAAAGAAGCTGAAGGTGAAGTAAGTGCTAACAGCACAGATGGATTACCATCAAAATCCCATAGATAATGCAAAGTGTCATTGGGACCATCAGCTCTTAAATAAACTGTTGTTAAATTTTTGTCTTTACATATCGTGCCACAGTCAGGATTCACCCATGATCGTAACTAGTGCCAGGCAAATTCTTTTATATAAAAAAGTGTAAATATATTGTTTACAACTCAATAATTAAACAATACATTGTTATAATTATAAACTCTATAAATTATGTTTTATATCATACATAAGATAGTTAAATAATATTAACATAAAATTCTATTGTAAATATAACTAAATACCATTAATATAATTTTTTTAATACACCTGGCTGAAAACTATAACTAATGAAACTTAAATCTCTTTTTTTTTTAACATATAATTCAATATCATCGTTTAATTAAATTTATTCCAAATTTCCGCACATTATATCATTGCTAATCGCTCGATTATTAGGGTTCTCACGTTAATTAATAAATGGGTTATGGGAACTCGTGTTCCTCATTAAGTAACGCGCTGCTCCCAATTACCATCGAATTGTCATTCAATGACCAGTCCCGAGATATGACAATAATTTCTAAATCGACTCTGGCCACGAGATAAAACAATCAGACGATGAATCACATTACGCGCAACCTTTGTTTTTCATTCAAAAGGATACTGATCCAAATAATGAAACTAATAAAATCATATTATTTCGATTAATAATATATTAATGACAACAAAGTATTATTTACTTACAATTCTTTGCGTACAGCATCCAATATCTAATAATGTAACGAACAAAAACAGTATCACAAAAACATTATTCATACTGTCTGACGTGTATAGCAGCAAATCAAAACATTTACTGATAACACTACCGCAACTTGTGACGCTACTGGCCGCTACTGAACCTCGATCGCTGGAATCAAAATGGATCTAAACGCATACTGCCGACAGCGCCACATATGATTGGGTCTACGCGCAACAAATTTTCTAGATAATCAAACTGTTAATAAAATGTCTACAATACAGTATACAAATTGATTTAGAAATTTTATTATACATATATTGCACATGTATGAATATATTCTAATCAATATTCCTTTGTAAATATTAATATACCTACAGAATATGGCTATTGAAGTATAGATCGAATTTCTTCATTTATACACAGATGACGCTACATTCTAAAGTCTACCAAACAAAGGAAATTGCATTCATCGACATTTTTCTGTTGCAAAAATAACAGCGAATGCCCTGATCAATATATTATTCAATAAAAAGATTCAGATAACATTCAAAAACTACATACATATTTTATTTAAGTTAACATACCTGTTTAAATTTAATGTATTTTTACACCGTATTTGTTAACAATTTTTCTTAAGAATTAATATACTTACTCCAATACTTACGACAATATTAACGAATTTTCGGTGAAACGATAGACCGTGGTAAAATTTAAATGATCTTTATACGGCTGCATTTCGCGCCGAGGGAAGGAAACTCGTACCCCATTGGCCATTACATTCCTCCAACGGTGGTGGAGTTACCAATCCTCGACACAGTATTTCGTTCGATAAATTTCGCAGGAAAATTGGATAAACGTTTCGACGAGAAAAATCGCTATCCAAAAATGGTAAGCACAAGTCAGTGATACGCTGTGCAAAGTCAAATGTATAACGAAAAAAAAAAAAATATTAACAATCATACATAACATTATAAATCAATGAACATTTTATTAAATCAGTCATCAGAATGTTTATTTGTAAATAATTCTTTAAAATTGCTTCACAGACAGACAGTAATTGTCTCCTTTTCAGGACACCGTATACAGCCGAGGAAAGAGAACGTGTAAAAAGAGCATTAACTTGCAGACTACGACCTTGACCGAAGCAGTGTCCGCGCTTGTAGCACATAACACATACAAACGTATGAATGTTCATCCGTACGTCTAGCGTTTCAAGGAACTTCGTTTCTTCGGGTTCTCACTCGCTACCTCCCTCTGTGCATTTCTATACATTGATAATTTATATGTTTCTTTAAAAATTTTAGAATAAAGGACATCAAATACGAACGACCTGCTTTTTACATAGACACAACGACTCTCTCTGTTGCATTTTTAAACTGTCTAATAAAATTCTATATTTCTAGAAAATGTACTCATACACTTGATGAAGCACTGGCGGCCAATGCTCTTCGACGATTTAACGATATCCCGCTGAAGGTCGTCAGAGGAAGTCGAGATCCGCGGTAGAATACAACCGTCCTATATACCGGGTAGCTTGCTCTAAAACTGGTTTTATCTCCCCTGTACTCTTTCACGCGTTCTCTTCGAAAAAGTGAAAAAATAGAATGCCACGCAAAATTCCAAAAACATCGTTCCTCGAGCTTCAATCATTGCTGCTATTCTTACCTCCTATTCCCTGTTCATCTCGCACAAAGTGAGTCTACATTCGTTAAGTTATAAGATGCGACAAGCATAGATTATAAATTAACTAGACACGCGTACTATACTAATAAAACATCGATATTTCAAACCGAACAGCGAAGCGTCATTGCTCGAGAGCCTTTGTCGACAGATAGTCTCGAATCGCAACAGTTAACACGATCCCCGTGAGAAGGAGGCTTACCTTCGATCAATCGAAGTGCTGCTGACGTTTCTCCGATATCCTCGCCGTTCGTGTTCACCGGCGAAACTTTTTAAATGCACACCACCCGATCTGTTCGCCGGCACGCTTCGTAGCCGGCGCGTATCTCGATAGCGAAGCCCGTGGAAGAATCACGACGTATATACGAACGGGCCGAGATCGAATTCGAAGGCGAGCGTAATAATTGCAGCCGGCGCGACGGCTGAAGGACTTCCGACTGCACGTATAACTTGCGCTCCGCCGGTTGCCGGCTAGTCGGCCGGACGAAAAACAGACAAAGAGTCTTCTTGCGCCGTGAGTAACGCCGGCTCGCTCGGCCAATCAGAGGAATCGGCACGATCGCGGTCCGCGTTCAATCGGCCGGTCGACGAGGAGCTTGATGACGCTGCCATCGTCGCATTTGTCGAGCCAGCTAGCTCGAAAACCCAGAAGGACGCTTTCCGTCATGACTAAAAAGCTCGTTCTCAAAATTTCCAACGATTCGATTAAACTGAACAAATCATGGTTGTCATTCGATCACCAGAGATGTAGATTTTTATGTTATCGATTGTTTGGTGTGATTGAAAAAGGTCCTTTTTGAAAACACAAACAAAATTCGAATGAAATGGGCAATTGTAACTTGGTTCTATTTCTAAGTTTCGCATAGAGAATGAGTCTATTTCATGATAGATTTAATTCAACGAAAATGAAACGTGAAATTCAACTCGAAATTTGAGTTATTTAAAGTAGCATCAAACCATTATTTTTATCAAATTTTAGTACACGTATAATGCAAAATTTCTTATGTGAATCTGAATTTTTCTTCGACTGGTATTATTATTGTTAAGGAAAAAGCTTCGATTGTAATAGTGACTGGCGTCTCTAATTATAAGTTTCGACATTCTAGATCTTTCTACTCGATAAGTCTGTATTATCGACTATAGGAATAAACCACGTCAGTGCACCTTTTAAAGAATTATTAAACTGCATTTATTAAGACAAAATTCTAAAGATGCTGCGATAAGTAGCGTTTATGCAAATTATTCTTACTTTTATTTTTTTGTCGAGAAAAATCTAACTTTTAGCAAACAGTAAATGTGAGAATGCTTTCTGAGAACCTTCTTCGTAATAAACCGGCTAACGCATACGATAAAATATTCGAGATGAAGGTTTGCGATAGAAGCCTAACAATTCTAAACCGATGGGTTAAAATTCACTTGTGTACCCGTCGGTTACATTACTTATGCAATTCGAGGGGGTGACAGGTGACGAAACAGACAGTGGAGCGAAGCGAATAGAGATAAAGCGAAACGAAACACCAGACGACGTCGCGACGACACAGGCGAAAAAAAGTGTGCTACCGCCGCACTCAAAACTTCGTATCGCACAAACGAAACGCATCGTAATCCCCCGGCGACCAGACTTTTCTAAGTCATCGAACTGCCATCTATGGTTACTTGTCGCATCCAGTTTGCTCGGTCCTACGTCCTTTACTGCAGGAAACACAGACAATTAATTGTGGAACGTACAGCGTAGCAACATTGTTCTTTACACTCGCGTCCATTCCCACGTTTTAGCCGTGCAAAACCAGTTGAGTGAAGTTAATGAGACTTTTGTGAACTTGAATTTTAATTAACCCGATTCGACAGAAAATAATGGTAAAATATTTCAAGATACTTCCTTTACTGCAGTATTATTAAATTGCTTCGACAAAATGCAGTTACCACCACAATAGTTACAATATAACCTTTTCAAGAAACGTTGTACTGGTAAAATATAGTACACTTCTAAGGTTTCTTCCATTCATATTATTTCATTTATTCTTCAGACCTATCTGAAAGCGTAAATATACTTTATCTAACTTAATAAACGATTCTCATATTTCTGTTGAACAATTCTCGAACAAATTTTCTTGAACATTATTGCAATGAAGATCACGGGAAAACAGTTCAAGATCATCTATATCGAAATAATGTTACGTGTCCTTCGCGCGTACCATATATTCCATGGATCGTGCGTGTCCGTGAGCATACTCGTGTAACACGCGAGTATGCATCGCAGTAGTACCAGCCGATGGTTACACGGCGACTACGTCGCCAGGGGAAAAAAAGGAATAAAGAAGAGGAGAGAAGCGCGCGCAAGGAAGAACCGGTTTCATGGGGGTTTCAGCCTCCACAAAATGATCCGTCTGGCTTGCCGGTTCGACTCCGCTTACCTCTACTGTGCTCGCGTACCGCGAAAGCGCTTGCTCCGATGCACCACCTACCTACCTACCCACCTACCTACCTATCTACCTGTTTCTTTCCTTTGTCTCCTTCTCTCTTTCTCACCGCTTGCTCAGACCTGCTGACCAACGTACCTGATTCGACTTCAAGGGTTCGAACTCCACGATAGGACCTCGTGATTTGACACATTTACATCGTTCACTGTTGGTAATAGTTCGACTGTAATGTGTAAAATGCTTTCCTTTTTTTCCTTGAATTCGTTAATAGAATTTGGAAATACAAGATACAGATTAGAATATTAGACAGCGGATATTGAATTTCAGATCTGAAGAGTGAATTTTAGATTCGCAGAAAATTGGAATTTTATAATTACTCTTGCTAAATGTTCTTTTTTTGAAAAGATAATATTGAACCTAGACCTGAAGCAACTCTGATTTATAGTTTCCTTGGTAGAAAGTAGTTGAATTTATTTTGTTAAAATAGTGAAAATGTGTAGATTTTAAATAACCTTTTTCTTCCTAATTTCCACGAGTAATAAAAGTGCTCTCTTTCTTCTCTCTTTTTTTTTTTTTTTTTGAAAAGGTGCTACTGAAGATTGACCTAAAAAAATGTTATACTTGACCTCCTTCAATTCACACAGTGTTGAACAATGTGCCTTGTCTGTTAAGCAATTCAGGTTAACTGAAGAATGCAAGATGAGATCTTTAATCTGATGTAAGGAGAACAATTGTAGGCGAATAATACGTTCGTCTTGTATAAATATTATAACAGACGGATTTGAAGTTGAAATCAAAAGCAATTCACAATGAACGTAAGTAGAGGAACTAAAATTAAGCTGTTTACATCCTAAATTCATGATGAATTATATTGGCTGACCTTGGAAATCGCGAAGAAAAGAGGCACGAAAACGAAGTATGCTTAGTACTACAAGGTACGAAGATGAAACGAAGAGAAAACTGGTTTCAGATGTTGGAGAATGTTCTGGCAACATTTGCATGTAGTGTGCGTGCATAGTTTACAAGTCCATCAGTATTTTACGAGTCGTTACTTTAACAATGCGCGACCGGAAAGTATCCAAATGATATTTTGTATTTCGTTCTATCTATTGGATCTAGTAATGGCCGATCATTGCATATCTTCGTCTCGTGGCGCGCTATAGTCTCTTAGTAGCGGCTTCGAAGGTTTCAGCGCGCGAAATCACAGACGCGTTTCCTATAAATTTATCATGATTTAATTTTCAAAAAAAATTCACGATTATGGAAAAAGAAAAGGGAAAAATAAATCTCGTAAAGGAACAGTTGAATATTTTCAGAAATTTCTGAAGTTTAGGTATCATAATGATACTCTTTTCTTTCGTTTTACATTAAACAATGCATTACATTTACATTAAACAATAATATTCGATAATATTCATATTATAATTTTCATTATACATGTCAGTACATATTTTAGCACAGTAAAATATAAAACCAATCCATAGATGAAAATATTTAACCAATAAAATAGTAGTAATATTTTACATGGTAACATTAAGTTATTATATAAAGTACGAGTAAAACAAAGATGGAAAAGCAGGACCAAATACAAAGTAGCCCATAAGTCGCTTTACCATTTAAAAATTGATTAACTTTTTTTCCATTATATGTTTTAAAATTTTTAGTTCAGATTTTGGAAATAGTTTATTGAATGTTTAAATGGTAAAGCGACTTATGGGTCACTCTCTAATAAATCTGCGAATCAAGCAAAAGTAATTTGCTGTTTTTAGTGTTCTCCAAATGGAATACGTTCCTGGATAAAACGATTTCTGAGTTGTTTCTACCATAAAAATCCAGCCATACGTTTTTGTTCTGAAGTTACACCCTGTACATTGTTCAGGCTGGCGCGCGCGCGAGCGCAAGCGTACATACACGTGAAAGTACAATATATGTACAGTAGATTATACCCAGCTACATAACGTCTAGGGTATTGTATATACATTGCCATCGTATTACGAGGATTAGAGCAGTTGGCTTTGCCCCGACACTGACCTTGGAACAAGCCTCCAGCACTATCTCCCCGTAGAGGTTCTTCTAGGTAGCCATGAGGTCGGGTAGTCTCTTCTGACATTAACGAAAGAAAGTACGAGCAACAGTTTCTGCAACGTTCGACCATCGAAACTCGAAACTTTCTTTCTCTGGATCCAGTATTAATGAAATGTCGGATTCTTCAACGACGAATGAAAATCGGTCTTTTAAATTCAAACAAACATTACCCTTAAATTCTGCAATAGTAATTTACCAAGAACTGTAAGAATTTTAAGTTAGTACGGAAAAGTATTGAATTTTTCAACACTCAAGTAACCACTCGACCTAATATTATAGGTATATTATGTGCATGGTCCGGGTAACAATGGAAAATAAACGGCTTGAACAGCGTAAAAATTCACTGTTCCAGAATATCTAGAGTTTAATATTAATAATATAAAATACAAATCAAATTATTTTGAAAGCTACATATACATATATTACATCTGATATTAATTATTCCAGATTCTGTAGTCAAGATTACGTTTTCTGAATATTTTCGAAGTTGTGAATTTAGAAAAAAAAAAAAAGAAAGATGAATTACCTCGGTAATTAAAGAAAATAAGATAAATTCAATATTTAGATAATCCTTGATATTTAATATTAATGTCTATTTATATTACTACACCTACTACGAATTTAGACACAATTAGCAGCACTATTAGGACTACTCTCACTGAACATACGCAATTACTTCGGCGAATAGTGAAGTTTGTTGCTGCATCGATTTCCTGAGTAACTTCTGGTACACTAAGAAGTCGAATGGATTACAAACATGATCTATTAGTGCAACTGTTTTATGGCAGGTCTAAATTTAACGTGCAATTTTATGGAGTTTCCAGGGAACCAATTATCTACAATACAGCAATAATCCTATTAGTATTTACAACCATAATAGTACTCACAATTATGGATAATGAAAAATATTAGCATAATATATGTATATAAAGCATTGATGCCTGGTACTTATGTGCAATATTATATTACTTATATAATAAAACATTGATGTTAATAATATTATCATTAATATACAGATGAAATTAATCATTCACAATACTAATTCTACTAATATTACAAAACATTAATATAATTTATAATACACATCACTAATAATAATACTATATTATATTAAATAAAACGTTGATGCTGCTAAAGGTTACAATACTACAACCCTACTATGTTCACCTAATTAATAACGCACTATATTAACATTATACTATACTACTGGTTGGCCCATAAGTCGCTTTACCATTTAAAAATTGAATAAACTTTTTGTTTCTTAATTATTTGTATTTATGTTTTTATTATATAAAAAAATAAAATCTGAAAAAAGTTACTCAATTTTTAAATGTTAAAGCGACTTACGTACCACCCTGTATAATTACTAATACAATTAATCTTGTACAACACTAGTACTACTGATACTTAACCTAACCAAACAACAGCACTAATACTACACAACATTAACAGTGCGTAACATTCTCCTCACCAATGCTATCAACAAAAACAACCACTAATACCAGAATTAAATACACCAATGCATTGCTACAGCTAATACCCCCAAGCTTATTAATTAACCAATTAATCGTCGATAACTCTTCTAGTTGGCGAAACAAGTAAGACGATTGTCCAGCACCAGACTGCCGGTAGAATTACCAGTGGGACGAATTAAAGAACTGCGGATATACCGGCGACGTGCCGAATCGTTTCGCGATCTCCTATTATTTAAACGGGGATATAGGTATAAGAACACGGAGACGGGGAGTCGTTCGCGGTAGTGTGAGGCATAAACGCGCCAGCACCACACCCAGCGTGACCACCATTGCGACACGGGACACGGCCATGCGCGTCGCAGTGATCGTGAGTAGCCAAATTCACTTTTTTTCTTCCCCCCTTTTTCACGAACCCATTAAAGTACCCTGCTCGCGACGCTTCGTCCCCCGTGTCATCCGCCATTTTGTCGAGTCTACCCCTCTGACATCTTTCTCACAACCACATTATCCACAATAGTGATTATTTTGTTTAATTATATTTGGAAACAAATGGGATAAAAATGATCGTTTATTCTATAGAATGGTTGTGGAAGAAATGACGAGGAGATTAAATATTTTATACCTTGTACGTAAGTTTGCATTATACGTGATACATATTTTGAAAGAGCGTGGAATGTGTGATAGCTAAAGGCTTGACGTTCAATGGACCGTGATGGAATTAAGAGATTAAGAATCCTTTCACTGATAATCAGGTATTTAGAAGGAAGGCTGAAGTGCGAGCATGGTTCCGTGTTCTTTCCTTTCCTGTTCGTTTCCTGATCACGAATCTGTGAGGCTGGTGAAGCGCGAAATTTGAAAATGGCCGTGGCGGTGTCGGGTGAAAAGATGATGTACGAGACGGAAGAAAGTTGAAAGTTAATTAAAGTGTTACGAGATGTAGTACAATCTATAAGTCGTGGAATTAGAAAAGAGAGATATTTACGAAATGTGTTAAAAATTTCAATATAGTTGGTAAATTGTTTTTTCTACCATATTTCGCTAAATCTTTAATTCAAAGAAAACAAAATTACTTTCAACACATAAAAAGAAACTTTGGAAATTGCAAAGTAGAAAAAAGAAAATTATTTTGAACGCTTAAAGGAGGAACTAAGAAAAAAATGTAGCAAGATTTCAAAACAATGGAAACAATTATTAAAAAGGAAACTTGAAATATTTGACAGTAATTCTAAGATGGTGAACACAGAATTACCTTCAATATTCAAAACGTTCCATTTACTACGTGTAAGGACGAACGATCGAAATTTTTTACGCGAAAAGAAGAGCACATTTTTCAAACCTTTATTTTCTGTTTCGAACCACTTCATTATAATATATTTGCATAAAAATCGTAGGATAAGGACGAAGGGAGGGAGGAATAATGTGTAGCCAGAGAGTTCGAGTTGACAGACAAGTTTTTCGACAATCTGTAAAAAGTGTATCGACTTACATATAGAGTTTCCTTTATACTTGACATTCCTTTCGATCAGCCCTGCCTGCAACTACGTTCCTGCGTTTCAACCGGAGAGCTTTCTGTTTCGACCGGTTATACTTTGTAATCGCCAGACATTACGTAAGAAACACCGGCTAGTATATTTTTCGTAATTGCCCTGCTATTTTTTTTTTTTCTTTAGCCATTTTTACAATCACCTTCGTTACACTGAATTTATCACTTTCAACCAATTGCAAAAGTTACAGTTCCCGAGCTAATGGAATATATTATTCTATATTTAAACGTACTCCATGTTTTGCATTACATTTAACTCGATATTCAAATGATCAAGCGTCCAGCTCCACTATTAACGCTTAAAGTTTCGACTACTTTGCAAAAATGTTTCTACATTATTGTAATCTAAATCGACATAATACAAAATGAATGATTAATTCAATTTTTGTAGTTTTCTTTATTTCGACCACTATCATAATCAACGGCACATATAACACTTTAATAACCAACTAAGTAGTTGACAAAGAAATATCACTAAATAAAAATATGGTATGTCAAACTTTTAATCCTTCCATCGATTCGTCAACTTCGACCGAATCGTTCGTTTTGAAAACGTGATGTCCATCATAAAATCGAAAACAAGCGAACGTTGAAAAAGAGGGGAGTATCGGTGGAGGAAGAAAGTGAAAGTATACACGGGGGGAGTGAATGAACGAGCGAGCCAGCGAAAGAAAACTCGAATCGGTGGGAGGGAAATTGTAGCAAGAGATCTTGAACGCATTTCTTAACGATGCTCGGCCACGAAGGACGAAAATTAAGCAGGTTGGCCGAGCAGAGTGAAAGTGCTCGACAAGAAAGTCGACAAAATTTTTCTTGGTAGTCCCAACGAATTAGGTCTGTCGGAAAGTTCTATCGTTCTTTCGAGCTATGTTTAACCTAGCCTTTAACATTATTAACTTGAAATGTTTCTTTTTAACGCCTAATTGATCTGACATTTATTAACCCTTTCGCTGTTCACTAAAATAAGAAAATATAAAAATGTTCCACTTTTTTATAACTTAATTTAGTAAAATTTAGAATAAAAATATGAAAAAAATATATTTTATATGTATTTGTACCTTACCTATTACCTTGAAATATTTTAATAATTATTTCCTGTAATACCTGAAATCTGTACATCGAACGGAATAAATAGAATGACACACTGTACCTAAACAGCGAAAGGGTTAACCTGATCTGAAGTATAAAAGTAAACTGAGTACGGGTGTTATTGCTAAAAATTTAACAGTAAACACGTCAGTGATTAAGATACATTTTCTATATACATACATTCCATCCTTTAGAATATCAGAGAGGAAGTAACGATACTATCGCGACAGAAAACTTGTGCACAGTTTTTGGAGACAACATTGTAAATGTTAGAATAGTGCAGAGGTGGTTTGCAAAGTTTAAAACTAGGGACTTAAACCTTCAAGATGAACCATGTTCGGGAAGGCTGTTGAAGATTTCAATGGAAAAACGGAAGATTCTTATGCAAAAGGAATTTGTAATACAAAATGACGACGATTATATCCCAAATTACAGAAGAAAGTAAAAATAAACGGCACAAAACTTGACAGCCTAATATCTACACGCGTGCCACCGCTTCAAACGCCGTAAACGCCGTGCAATCCCGTAAGAAACAAATCTGCGTCCGCTCGATTCGCCTGTCTCTCCTCTTCTCTCTTTCTCTGTCTATCCTTCTCTGTCTGTCGAGACCGGTGCATTCCTACGGACTAGAGGAACTCTAGAGGAGGATATGGCGATCCGGCCCGATACTGCCCCGACTTCGCCAACACGATTGCTATAATGTATCCGTCCTTTCCTCTTTTATGCCGCTTTTAATAAACACCGCGACGTTTCTGGAGTTCCTGAAGAAATATTCGATTCTGTGGTATTTTTACATTGATGAAGAATGTTAAGAACGTTCTATACATTGTTCGGTTACTAATATCAAGGGTTTTGGTATTTAAAGTGTCCAAAGAATTTGGCTAATTTGTAACAATTTCTAAGTTTTACGTATCTTCGAATTTTTTTGTTTTCTACGACACTTAGAGTTTTTCAAGGCACTGGGGCTATCACAATTTCCGTGATTTGGCAATTTGCAGTTCTTTTTGAACTTTTATAGTAGTTAAAACTTAATAAAAAATTTAATATCTTGTAATAAAGAAGTAAACAAATGCGTCGTTGAATTTCCGTGAAATTAGATAAATTTCGAATTTCCATGAGAGCATGTTAACTTGCAATATTTCCAAGCTCCTGTGAAAACTTAACAATTTTGTTTTATTATCCGTAAAATCTTACGAAAAATTGCAACACTTCTGGATCCGCAGAAATGCAATCGTAATTCTGTAGAGCAGTGTCACTGATGAAAAGTGAAGTCTGGAACTCGTTTCCGTTTGTTTAGAGGACCTTGCTCAATTCAAATGCTTCTATTTCTTATTTGTCAATCTGCTCAAAATTTTATTTCGATCACTGCAATTTCAATTTTCACGAAATTCCGCTTTTACAATATTAATAATCAAAATCTTTATCCCTCTTATCTCTTAAACACTTCAACCTAACCAGAAACCTACTTAGCCACAACACTTGCTGCAGTTTCGTTAGAAACCCGAGACAAGCTCTCGTGCATAACCTCACTCTCACTTCCTCCAATCATTAAATACACCAATCTACATGAAGCAACATTCTAATAGTAAAATTCCCGCGTATTACATCAACTTACCAAACACGAACTAAACAAATTGTCCATGCGAAAAAAATAAAAACAAAACAAATTAAAATCTCGTTTACTTTTACCAACTCCATATATTCAATCTCCTTATCTCAACTATTCCTGGCTATTCGCCTTTCGTTAAATAATTCAACATTACTCTTACTGATTCTGCAGTTACGTTAACACGACCGGTATTTCATATTCTTACATAACGAGAATTACACGAGAAAATAGAAGCTTGTCAATGTAACTTCTCATGAACAAGTTAGATGGAGTTACAGGCTAAAATCACGGAATCGTGCCATTTATTGGTATGGATTGTAATTCGATTGTTCTTGTTTCTCCCATTTGCATTACCACGATGCAACAGGTTTCCGCTGGACTGAGGACTGACTGGTTTCGAACCGGTCCAGCATTCTAGTTTACGCGTTTTTAAGCGCATTCACGCGTCTATATACGCATAATAATTAACGAATTCGCTGTGTATTTTCTTCTCGTACGCGTAAAATTCATCGTCCAGTGTGTATATATACATACGAAGACGGAGAAAAGAGAAAGCGATTCGATTTCGAGAACTGGCGACGCATAATGTGCGTACGTCACCGGTATATACACTGCAGCTCGTATGGTGCACGTGTACATACGTAACTCGTCACTTGACATTTAAGCCAGCAAAGCGACGACAATGAAAGAGAAAGAATTTGATGAGAAGGGAGAAAAAAAATAAGTGGAAGGACATTTACATGCGGAACGTATGGTTTACCTTGTTGCAGCATGACTTGTCTAAGTCATAAGCTCGGTATGTTTATGAACAACACAACTTCCGTAATAGTACGCCAGATTATATGATATCGAGATTAGTTCAAAGTGTCGCTGATCGTTGTGCTGGTTTTATTGTCTTTATGCAGGCTAATTCCATTTGCCTTTCTTCAGTTCTATATTTAGTCGTTGATGTTTTATCCTTTATTATTTCATCTCTGTTTACGTGTCTTGAAAGGCTTGATATATACTCGCGGTAACTGAAAAGTGTAATTAGGCATTCTGAATGAAAATTTTTATGAATAACTCACAATGGAAGTTATTAATTTTAAATACTTTTGTTTTTGCTTTAATCTTGACCAGGTATGACAAAAGAAATGTTCTGTTGCAGTTGTTGGCATGCGTCACTGTGCAGGTTTCGGCCCAGTATAACCAAGATGACGGCTTGCCACAGAGGGGGTTGCCAACACCCCTGAGGTCAGCCCGTTTCCAGAGACTTCCGGCTACACGACCGGCAATTCCACAAGCAACTCTTGCGAATCAACGAATTCGACGACCAATTACGTTTAGGTATTACGAATTAAGTAATCAGTCTAATATTTAATCGTAGTATAACCTTACAATCAACTTGGATCTATTATTCACGTCACTCCTCTGTGAACTTGATTTTATGAAACTCAAAAGTGTAAGATTCAAACATTTAGTATTTTAATGATTCAAATTTAATGAATTATTTTCAAAGGGGCTTCAATAACTGTGCTATATTTTCATATTATCACATTTAATGATATACGTACGTAATATCCACATAAAATTAAATATTAGTATAAAAGAATATGTTCTAATATATATTAACTCTAATATATGGACAAATATATTCTAATATATGGACAAAAGAAAATATTAAGGCAGCAGAGTAGTCTCAATTTAGCATTTTCATCCTCAGCAATTATGACTAGTCTAATCCTCTCGAAATTATAAACATAACCTAATAACCAACTTATGAACATTCTCTTATCAGACCGAAAGGCGTTGAAGATTCTATAGGAACAGGTCCAGGCTCGTTTACACCAGTTAAATCATTGCGACCGAATCTGCCTACTGGACCAGCACAATTGCCTCAACAAATTAAGCCAGTGAACGAAGAACCGGAAGAGGATTTTCGAAATCGTGAACCATCTCGAGAACACGACAGTCAAGGCGACGATGTCGATTTTAGCGAAGAGCCAGAGAGCCAAGAAGAAAGTGAGGAAAACGTGCCACGCACCATTACAAATCTTGGAACAGTCGGTTCGATATCAAGAACTTCCGCTAATATAGGTCCAACATCTCAATCGGTACAATATCGTCCGACTCCAGGAACAGGAGGACCAACTGGCAGAGGAAATGCAATACCGACGGCTACTCCGACACCTGTTCAATACCGACCGGCGCCAAAACCGAACAAACCAAGAAAACCAGTGGAGGAACCATTTAAGCAACAGGTGAAGCCACCTACAAAACCGGTGAAACCGTCTCAACATTACGACGCTCGTGGAAAAAAGCCTGTTGCACAGGTTAGTTCTAAACAAAATAAGATAAAGAGATAACTTGTAACCGCACTGCCTGAGCTTCGGCGTTTAGGGGATTTCCTTCACTCTACAGGAATTTTTCCTCGAAGAATGAGAAAATGTTTCTTAACAATTTGAAGAAAATTCCGTAGATGTTAATTTCCTCGATCATAGATGTTAAATTTCCCCTGGAAAATGGAACAATTTTCATAAAATTTTATCCAACAAAATATAGATATCCTCTTAACACTAAACAGACATAATATCAGAGCAGCATTTTCTTGAATTCTTGGATTGGATTTACTTGAATTAGGTTAGAATATTCGTGCTGTCATCTGGAACTTAGAGGCCTCTCCTTTAGAGTAATGTGAGTTTAGATTAACATCAAATTATTTCTGAAGAAAAAATAAATTTGAAATTATAAAAATGAAATAATTCACTAGATTAAATCTAAAGGAAATTTGAGAATCGTCCTTCTCAATTAGAAATTATTCCAAAACAAAGTTTGAGTTCATTATAGTATGCATCATTTCTAAAAATCAAAATTTCTTACCTATACTTCTTACAGAGTTATATATGTATATATATTATATTATTTCTTTACATACCTGATTACATGATTAGTCAATAATCGACTGCACCCTACCGATTATGTCACCACTATTTAACTTTAGTCATTGTGAACTAAGCACGTTAGATCAAAATATAGTTTTACGGCAGGAAGCGTTTAATAAAGTATGAAAATACGGTGATTTAGTAGCGGATGAGATTTAAATTCCCGATATCATTCTGACGTAGTTTCTTAAAAGCTGAACTTGATACCTATAAGAGTTATACATATAATAACAGGAGAGAGTGAAACTGATTTAAAATAGTACATAAATTAATACAAGTAAACGAGCATTATTGTTAAATGAAGAATGAAAAGCTACCACTTGTCTGAATTCAATTATTCCTAGTTAAACATTTTTTCGTATTTTGTAACAGATTATCAGGCGATATCGCAACGATAATCCAGACGGCTCAATCACATGGGGCTTCGAGAACGATGACGGATCGTACAAAGAGGAAATAATCGGCATCGATTGTATCACTAGAGGTAAATACGGATATATCGATCCGGATGGTATTCGCCGAGAGTACACGTACGAAACTGGAATCAAGTGTGACGAAGAACAACGGGAAGAAGAGGAAGAAAATGGGTTTGTAGATTACCAAGAGAACAAGCTAGTACTTCCCGATGGTAAAACCATAGATTTGTCAAGTATGGGCAAGAAACAGGCCCGCAGACCTCGTTTGATTCGCAGGAATTAGTAAAATTCTTCGTATAACCTCTTTCTTTGTTTTCATTTCGAAAAATCGGTACGTTGATTGGCAATGATTGTAAGAAAATATTCACAATATCTTCTCGTTAATTCTTCATCGTTTTAAATATTTAATTATATAATAATTTAACAAGTTGATGTACTAATCATTAGAAGTTGTAAGTTTCATCATAATTTTTTGAAGAAAATACTCGAGAAAAGAATGATGGTTAAAAAATGAAGAGAATAAAACTGAATGATTTATTTCGTTAAGTATTAATCTAGTAATACAAGTTTCATCGTGACTGTCATCGTTTCACTTTCTCCGTTGTTCAAAATTTGTAATTAGAATTATTTAGTATGTATCTATATCGTGTACATATAAATGTAGGTACCTGTATCGAGTTCGTCGAATAAAAAGTAACAAAATACAAATAACACACTGCGTAATATCGTGAAAAATTTTTAAATTACAACAAAAAACTCTCGTATCCCTAAATCCTAATGGAAATTCTGCATATAATATACATAATAGCGACATAAATCAAATAAAGATGGTGGATATAATCTATTTTGATATACAATATGTTTCATTATTATCTCTCAGCAAGTAGTCACAAATAAATTAAGATAGCTGTCCGCCCATCTGTCATTCTAATCAGGAATGCGATGAAATTACCATCGTACGAAATTAAATACAAAACAAGTACAAATACATCAACGATTCGTATATAGCATGAACACAATACTGATTAAACATATATTTCTTGTACGTTTATGCAAATATATGCATATGTATATGTATATACTATCTGTTCAAAAATATTGTTTCTATATTAACAGACATCAAAAATTCAAGATATAATGTACAATTATATATATATTAAGTGACAGATTAAAAATTACGTGTTATGTTTATGTAATATGTATATATATCGTTTCCTTATAGTACAAAGATATCAAATTATCGAATATCGTGCTTCGATGAAATTACATAATATATATGTTCGTAAATACATAGATATTATAAATAAAAAAATAGCGAAATTAATTAAATTAATGAAGCAGTTGTGCCGTTTTGTTAGCACGAATAAATTTTACCGGAGCAAATCCTCTCTATAAAAGCAACGATATGTCTCAAAAGTGGTCCATTAGTGTGGTCCATCCAAGAATTTGTGTGATACAATTAATACGCAGGACTCGTCACTGTGGATACTTGTTTTGGTGTGTGCTGTCCCTGCGCTAAGGCGCCGCTTCTTGCTGCATGGAATTTGATCCAAGCGTCGTAACCATAAACTACCATAGCGCAGAATCCGAAGAACTAGAAAAATATGCATGAAAATATTAAAGAAACACATTTCTTTATGAAGAGAGCAATGGTTCCAGAGATATTTATCAAAATTTCTGTTATACATGATCTCCACTTTCCTACATTTTTAACTAACTTCAAATAAGTAATTGAAAATGCAAAAAGTAGAATGACAATTAAGGAGTTTACAAGAAGTTTACACTCCGATGACCTTGATCGGCCAATTGATTTTAAACAGACTATAGCACGGACTTATATGGAATAAATCTAATTGTAAATAAATGAAGCAAACAGAGGATTAACTTCAATTAAAAAACTTACTGCTGCAACTCCAAAAGCTTCTAAGTATCGAGCATGATCAGCGGCGAGAGAAGCGGCCAGTAAATAAAAGGCAGTCCAAATTGTACAAAATATAAATTCCTGCAAACAAGAATATAAAAGTGTGTTACTTTGAAACCTGATTAATTATTCTTATTATGTGCAACGCAATCACAATATTAACGTAATTTAAGGATTGTCGACATAGTATGTAGCGTGCTGTAGCATACAATGTCCTACTTAGTTCATCTGAGATCGATATTTTACCTCCACGTAAAAACAACCTGCACGTTAACTTTTTAACGGGTTTATATTCAGACGTTATCATCATATTACCAAAACAATCAAAACTGAGCAAATTAAACATAAGAAGCTAGTGACAATTTCTTTCGTTTTCTTTGTTGACTTACAATTTTCAGCCAAGGAATTTTCGAGAATTTCTCAACGATATGGAACAGGTAAAAAACAAGTAATATTCCTGTGAACCAAAAGCCGCCCATGGCCACGGTGTTGAACCATCCTCCGCGGCTGGAATTGCTTTGAGTCGATACTGTGATGCATATGAAACCCAAGAGGTTAAAGGCCTTAAAAGAAAGGAGAAATAATTAATTACTATACCTTTCATTATTGGTAATTACTATTGAATTTTTTATTATTCAAAAACATGTAGAATGGAGCCTAATAAAAAAGAAATATAATTAAAATGTAGAATAGAGTTCATTTTTTAAAACATCGTCAATACCTCATATTAAAAAAATATGTATGTCTTTTTAAATAATTTTATTTTAAAACATCACCTTAAAATTTGCATTCACTCTGTTAAATTTCTTTGTATTTTTAACGCTAAAAATTGTGGTTTAGAATTCTTTTATCAATGGATACCCAATCAGTATGATAAACGGTAGATATGAAACGTTAATATATTCTTCAATTTCCTTAATACTGTCAACCTCATGCGTATATATGTACACACATAATATTTAGTTAGTGATTATTCATATGTGATATACCGTAAGCAGCATAACTAAGCCAACCGATTCATAGAAATCATTATCTATTTGTTGTAAATGATGAGCAATGGAAAAAGTAAATTTCAGTGATATATTACTAATGGTCACAGTACTCTTGAACGCTTTCGTATATTTAAAATGTTTATTTATTAATGTACAATGATAAAAATTGAAAGACCCAGTTTTGCGCCAGAATTGAAATGTTGTAGTAACATTGAAAAACAGGCAAAATATTTTTAGATTGTTACCATGCTTTGTTTCCATAGTCACGCCACTCATTTATTACTAACGATAGCATTCAATTTGTTAGTGTTCATCGAGTTGAAAAAGACAAAACTAGCAAGCAGTATTCTATAATAAAACCGTTTTCTCATATTATTTCCAGTAAAATCTGGAAAAATATTTTGTGAGCCAATCAACTATTCAATGTTTGCGAAAAAAGCATGGGAAGAACATGTTAATTGTAGTTGGTGGACGTCCGAAAGTATTAACATGTCCGGTTGAACGAAGGATTGTTCGGTATGTCACGAGTGACGAAGCTAATTTGTTAAAACGTGACACAAGAATACAAATATGCAAGTAGATGATTCAATATTCTTTAAAGAAAAAGCCAACTTTAAAGCTATTGAAAAAAAGAAAATGCCTTTACTCTCGAAAAACAATATTAAAGCTCGTATAGCTTTGCAAGAGAATATCAAAATTGGACTGTTTTTTCAGTGGAAAAGTGTTATTTGGTCGGATGAAACAAAGACTAATATAATTTCATCATATGGGCGTTTCTGATGTAGAATTCGTAAAGGAGAACGTCTTCAGCCACGTCATGTAAAACAAACGGTTAATGTGTATAACAGCATATGGTGTAGGTACATATGTACTTACACTGCAATGGATAGAAAGCACTATGAATCAGTACGTGTACAGAGATATTTTGAAACATCATCTGCTCGAAATTATTGAGAATATGTCAGTAGTTGAAGAGAATTTGATCTTTCAACGTGATCCAAATCGAAAACACACTGCTAAAAATGTGCAAGATTGGCTGAATATACAAAAATTTTCTATCCTTCAGTGACCAGCTCAAAACACTGATTTAAACCCTACCAAGGATTTGTGAGCATTAGACAGAACCAAATACAGGATTCCTATGATTCACCGCCATCCCCGGTTGCTGAATTATACACCAGAGTTCAAGAATAATGAAATCACATTTCACCGGAATATTGTCGAAATTTAATAAAAAAACATGCCAAGACGTATTAACACTGTTTTGCGTTTAAAAGATTTGTGGACCAAATATTAATACATTGCAAAACTGAGTCTTTCAATTTTTATTATTATAGATAAATAAATAAACATTTAGAAAATTAAACAAATATTTTAAGTCTACTGTGATTACCAAAAATATGTTAATTATGTTTTTTTTATTATCATCTATTTTATACGGCAATAAATAATTCCTATAATGAGCCTTGTCGGTTCAGTTATGCTTCTCACTATACATGAATAGCAGCCGCGAAACCATTGAACGGTCCAGTGGGGTAAAATAAGGGAGTATCGATTAAAAATAAACACGGCCGGCAGATGAACTTACCACCTGAGCGAGTTTGAGAATTCCTGGCACTGTTCTTGTATAAGACGGATCAAATCGAATAGTTGGTTGTGTTGTAGTGGTAGTCGTCGTTACCGTTGTTGTGGTATGCTGTCCTGGAAATCCCTGGTCCATCATCTCTAGTCACTCTGAAAAATATTACCCGACAACACTGCTAAAAACCATAAAAAAGTAAAAGAGTTCTTTGTTTAAATGTTAAACAATAAATTTGATTGTATTAAGATATGAAAAATAGAATTTTTTCAAATTAACTTTCTTTCTTTTAATGTAAATCTTAAATTTAATGAGACTTCCAAAGATCACGTTTCGCGTCCACTCAATTATCAACCACGATATGGTTAAATATAGTTCCAATCTCGTTAATTTGCCAGACATCCTTAAATCGATTTCTGTTTCGAAATAAGTAAATTTAACAAAAGACAATTCGATTTTGAAAGTGTACTAATTGTTTAACCATATATCGTACACGAGAAATCGATTCGTTAAAGTGTCATTTCAAACATTTGAATTTTTTACGCCGCAACGATCGTTGATTGCATGAGATTTAAATCTGACCGCAAAACCCGATAATTAAACCTCAGCTACTGCCTTGTGTACAGTACAGTTTAATTCACTGATGTAAAGACGTTACTTTTCATTAATGACTTTTAATTAGTGACGATATACGTTTACATAAACAGTTTATTAGTTGAATAAAATGAATTAATAAAAAAACACGTTCGGAATAAGCGAAAAAAGGCCGCCGGTTTGATTACGAGCTATCGTGCAGGCGCAAAAGGCGTAAATGTGTTGCGTTGTAGATAAGGGCGGACGATCGCCGTTGTATTTGATCTTGAATTAAAGCTGTAACACGAAATTATGTCATATTCCAACATCATATGTACTACAAGAATTACTTAATCTTACAGCGTGAAGTCATCCTAACTGAAAATAGCGAATGACAAGCTTTCTATCTTATGAACAATGCAAGAGTAATGCACCAAAAAACGAATCTGCGTGCCCGTACTGATGAGTACGTTGCTTGTGCGTGCATTTACGCATGTAGGCGGTAGATTTGATTGTATGACACATTATCACGGTCGAAACTTCATAATAAAACACTAAGAATATATGGAATGCGATTCACGAAAACAAAACGCATGGAAAGAAATAAAATTCGTCGAGAAAAAAATGAACTGTAGTAAATATGTAGATATATAATATGTTTTCACGAGAGGACGATATTTTGAAGATTACGACAATATTTGTAAGATATTTGTTTCAACAGTAACTCTGAATTATGGTTAGCATGCAGCGAAGAAAAACACTTTCACGAGTTACGATAATAAATTTCCCTGCTTTCACACGTTTTCATCGATAATGAACAACAACAAAAATAATCGTGACCCCATAGTTTCTGCGGCCCTGTACGTTAGCACGAAATAGCGGGAAAAGAGTCATTTAGCATTCTTAGTGTGTAATTAAAATACTGTTAGCGTAACACTGACTGTTGCTTCACTTTCACGTCTCGTACGTAGGTTTCTCCTACTTCACCAGATTTTTTTTTGTTTTCGGTTACTTATTTCCCATGAGACGGCACGCTGTGTGCCGAGACATTGTTTCTATGTATGTACATGATGTGTAATCTACCTGACTTGACAGACTGATCTGTACACCCGATTATTTTCGTAACTTGTCTATTTCGTGAACACAGACTAGAACCTTTCTGTCCTTGGAACACTTGAAAATAAAAATCTTGAACTCTTTCTCACTGAACTCGAATGCATGTATAAATAACAGGAAAAATAACACCGAACGCGTTTCGAAACAAACTACACTATCACAAATGGTTCTATGAAACCTGGTACGTATGTAAGTACGATTCGTACAATTCTGCCCCACTTTGTCGTTCACTTGTAGTTCTCTCTAACAGAAAAATTCACAACTAGTTGCATTAACTTTACCGATAAACCATTATAATTCTTACAGATATTAATCTTATCAACCGTAGGTATAGAAAATAGATAGATACTACAATATGTAGAGTAATATTACACCCTCTACAATTTAGGGTGGTGACTTTAGGAATTACGATGCAACCTAACCATCAAAGTTGGTAAAGTCAGCAGATGCAAAAGCACAGACGTTAGGTTTGAACTCATGTATGGTTACTTGTGTATAAACTAAACAATACAATCTTATTAAGCAATTTTATTACCGAGAGGCTTAAATTTTGTGTTCGCGAATTATTAACAATACGTCGTATTAGAGTTTAATGTATTCAGTGATTACAAAAACTTTTAAATAAAAAACATTATTATATTAATGTCAGAAATTTTTATGTAATCCTCGATTATTTTGGATTTAATAATGTGCAAGGTTATGTTAATCTAAACAATACATCACTTACGTTGTTACTTGCTTATTCGCAAAAAGGATTTGTGATTTGTCTCTAATATTCTGTAAGAAGGAATGGTTTCTACTCGAGGACCAAAATTCAAATTCTGTGATGGTGAAAAAGTTCTCTGTTATGAACCCGACCCTACAAAAGCAAAAGTATTATATGATTCAAAGGTACACTGTAAGAAAACAAATCAGTAAACAAAGCTATTGCTCTTTATTATTATTTCATATAAATTTTAGGTACTTGATGTTATTGTTAATAAAGATCAAAGAGGACGTAAAGCTGTTGAATATCTGATACACTTCCAGGTAATAATAAATAATTAGAGATTTCCTACAAAATGTAATCTGTCTCTCATACTCCGTATACTGTTTTTTAAAATAAAATATGAATGTAACAATAGGGATGGAATTCTTCATGGGATCGTTGTGTAACAGAGGAATATGTATTAAAAGACACAGAAGAAAACCGTCAACTTCAACGAGATTTGGCACAAAAAGCACAACTACAGTTGTATGTATTTAATAAAAACTTATTGGAGTTATATAATTCAAAGGAGTATAAATTTCTTTCAATGTGAATAAAATAATAAACAGGGGAGCTTATTTATATCGACGAGAGCGTAAAAAAAGAAGCCATAAACTATCTGAACGTTTAAATGAAGCTGAAAATCAAGAACCAAGAAGAAGAGCAAGAAGTGGTGGTAGTAGAGCAACATCTGCAACAACTGGATCATCCGAAGATGGCAGTTCAGGACAACATGCTGATTATGACACTGAGGTATTATCACTTTTTTATTTATAATGATTACATGTATAACATGTACAAATATATTATTTGACTAAAATATTTATCCTCATTAACAAAGGAAGTTATTACTGAAGAGGATACAGAAAGTAGTTCAGATTATGTGGGTGAAACAAGTGATGATGAAGACAGTGGTGGTGGTAGTCAATCTGGTGCTAGTGTAAAACCAGGAATTGATCTTGACATTGGTACCACTCTGAGAAGGATTCTGGACCAAGACTATGATCTAATAACTAATAAAAATAAGGTATTCTTTTTGGTATTAAAAGCATGTAGAATTATAATTGAGAAAGTGTAATCTAAAATTTGAAAGTAACAAAGGGTAACATGGATTTTAGCTAGCTGTTCTTCCTGCACAACCTACTGTTGCAAATATTTTAGAATCATGGGTACAACACTTTACGACAACGCAACTAACAAACATTCCAGAAAAACCTCAAAGGAACAAAGCAAATAATTCAATAGAAAAAACAATTAATGAAATAAACATATGCAGAGAAGTAGCTGATGGATTACGTATATATTTCGATTTTACATTACACGATCTCCTTTTATATAGGCAAGAGCAAGAACAATATTGTAATTTAAAATCTTCTTTCTTGTATACTGAACATCCAACTCTTGTGAAAGAAGAACCAATTGAGTAAGTTTTAATATTTTAACGTATAAAAAATTGAAACATAGAATTGAATGTCTCACTTAAGTTTGTTATTTGAAATATTTTGACTAATTTTAGAACTACAGAGAAATTGTTTTTTAATAAAGGCAGTATAATCAACGCGTTTAATGTAATTTTAAGGAATTCAGAAGTATTAATTAAAGAAGAATATGAAGATACCGAGTACGCTCATTTACCACCGTTCCAAGAGCATGATCAAGAAGTAGACATGTCAAAAACGATGGCAAATTCTAAGCGAAGGTTAAGATCATGTAGAGTGAGTTCCATTGATGAAAATAGACAACTACGATCGTATGAAGAAATTAAACAAGATACTGGAAATTTATCGAGGTAAATAAAATTTTCAAAAGAACAGAAATCACTTTAGCATCGCTTATGTAAATATAGAATTGATAATTTCTTTTTTTTTAGTATTGCAAGTACAAGTTCTCGTTGTTCTAGCCCACGCGGTGTAACGCTGCGAATACCGGTTGTTACATCCGTACAAGTCACCGCCTTACTTCAGCAATCAAACAAGTGGAGATTAATGCCCGAATCCTCAAAACCTGAGGGTCCTCCAAATCCTTCCACTTATTATGGTGCCATTCACTTAACACGATTGTTTGGTATGTAAAAAGAAATATTTTTCTCGAACATTTATAAATAAAGAATTATATAAACTAGTATAATTTTTTTTAGTTAAATTGCCGGACTTGCTTCAATTAACAGATATACCACATAAAAAATTGAAGGTTCTTCTTAAATATTTGGACATGTTTCTCAGGTAAAAATTTTTTTAACATATACTTTAAATACTGGTATTTTCTATTTTTAATAATCAACAAAATTATATTCTTAATGTTGTAGTTATTTAGAAATGCATAGAGAGTGGTTTGGAGAACAATTTTATATGCAAGTGGAAAATCAATTAATTCCTCAAGCAAGTAATTCTTAACACAATAAAAATAAGTCGCGTTCTTTCCCGATATTCACCTATAGGTGTGACTGTGTATATGTTATGTGGGTATTATGTGAGATGTACAGCAAGGATGTATGATTGTGAATTCAGTATAAGTGATAAACTATTTTATATTATTTACCAAATACTTTTCTATACATGCCTTCCATAACAAAACTTTCCTTATAGATCATTTATGTTAAAGATACAATTTAAAATTACGTAACTATTTTTATGAAGTAAAAGGCTGTGTAAATTAAATGTCATAGAAGAAGTGAAAATTAAATTTTGTTATTTAGAAATATATAAATAGAAAAACTATATTATAAAACATAAAATATATGTGTAATTTCATTTTTTTAAATAAAGCATTTTTAATAAAAAATCAATATATGATTTAACTCATGTTAATTTGTTTATAATATATTGTGGCTCATAAAAACGCATTAACAACGTTTATATGTAATGAGTATAAATTAATAGATAATAATTAGTGATATATTGTAGTTGTAAATAATTCTGATGCGGATATATATTTTCTGATGTAAATAGATTATGGTTCTCACACTTTTGCTCATTGACTTTTAATTGCGTGGAAACGACAGAAGAATATTCTTATTAAAAAATTCAATAAAAATACTGTTTAAATACAAACTGTGCCAAATAATGCCACATAATGGTTGTATTCATTGTTTTTATTATCTGTATATCTTTGCAAATACATACCTTTTATTACTACTTACAAAAAATTCCTAATACATTCATATTTTAAAAATGTTTGAATCCATATTTATTTGTTACTCTTACTGAAAAAATTACACGTATATATTACCATCTATTGCATTTCTGTCTTCGGGGAACAGTTAAAAAAAGCAAGGTATCTATTAATATTTCTAACAATACGATCTGTTTGTCTATTGTCAAATTTAGAATACATTAGATACTGTCAAAGGAATTAACTTTATATATGGTTCTAATACTTTTTAATCGTGGCAGATTTATGGTATTACCCTCGTTGTTAATCGGCGCTTGAGTGCGAATGTTTCCAATCTCGGTCAAACTCGTATGTTCTCGGAACTGCTTACATTAACAGCAGTGTTACTGATAGGTATCAGCTGTTCTAGTAAATAAAGAACGGTGTTTCGATATGGACATCGTCGAGAGTGTCACGGAAAATCAAGAAACCAACGAGGAAGATGCACTTAAATTGGAAGACAGAAGCAACCGTTCTTCGGTGATAGCCGAGGAAAATGAAAATTGGTATTACATGCCGGATTCTATTCTCTTAAATATTTTTCAATATTTAACACCGAGGGAGTTGACAATTGCTGGAGAAGTATGCAGATCATGGCATAGGGTATCACACGACGAATTTCTTTGGAAGGATCTGTTCTATCAGACATACAAAATAGATCCGGACATCGGCATTATGCCAGGTTAACTTTATTATATATTTATAAATACTCAACGTTGCAAGGAATATAACTTCTACATGATTAAAAATACAAAAGAATTAATACATATGACGTATATAATTGGATATTATTATTAATATTAAAATTCGTTTATATTAATGTTAGAATGTAATTCATTATACTTTATAGGGAAAACTTCTTGGTTAGGAGAATTTAAACGTTTAACATATCACACGCCACTCTTAGAAACAGAAGTACTAAAAGATCATTCTCATCAAGTCTTACATGTTAGCTTTTCACACAATGGAAAAATGTTTGCCACTTGTTCAAAGGATGGATATATTTTTGTGAGTTACTTTTTGTTACAATTATTAGACTCTTGTTCAATATTTGGAAACAAAACATTATTTTTACAATTTATTATAGGTTTGGGAAAGTCAATATCCTGTTAGTATAAAATACCTTCATGATATGAAAACATTTAGTTGGAAATATACACAGTTCTCACAGTTTAATTCTTCTGATACCTTGCTACTTGTTTCTGGAGTACACTTTGGGACTCCTGTTAGTACTTCAGGCGAAATAGCAGTATTTAGATTAGCACGTAAGAATATTAATAAATTATCTAATATTGCACAGTTAATAGTAAAAGAATGGTATATTAGAAGTTGTTTACTTTTCTTTGTTACAGCTAGTTTTGATCTTCAGTGTAGAGTAATAAATAAACCCTATGACATATTTGGTACATGGTACAGTGAACATTACCTTATAAGTGGAAACTTATGTTGGTTGGCACATTTAGTTAGTACTAGTTTCCTATGGCTTAATAAGGCAGATCAAGAGTCATCTAGTGAACTTATACCTATTATGACACAGCTGTTTAGGTACTGACACGGATGGTTAATCTTGTATAGTGACAAAATTATTTTTTGACCATGATAATTTAAATATTTTACATATTTTAGATTTTACAACGGTAATGCTTCATCAGTTCGAGCAATAATGGTGGCTAATTGTTTAACACCTGAACAGAATGAATCTGAAGAACAACAGAACCAACCTTCATCTTCTAATGTTAAAGAAGAAAGAGGAAATCCACCAAGTCATAAAGATATTTCATCGGCATCTTCTAGTAATACTCTACAGGAACAAGAAGAACCAATTGTTCTTCGCCATGCATCATCTAGATTACAGTAAGTTAATTGAATACAGTATGTGTCGTATTCATATTATTACTTAAATTGAAGATATGTATTGAATATGATTGATATATATTAACCAAAGCATGTACCATATAGATATAGTACATTGGAAGGTGGATTTATGAATTGGAAGAAACTTGGTGATGGTTTTGAATATGCTAATCCTATACAATATAATCAAGAATATAGACAAGTAGAAATGGAAAAGAAAGCACAAGAATCTGAGAAAGAAAGTGAAAATTCTCAGTGGGATGAAGAAAATGAATCTGGAGGTAAGAAAACTTGTTGTAAATGAAGTTATGATATTCTTATTGCATGCATTCAGAAATAAAATTTTATTCCTAGAATCATCAAACACAGAAGAAGGTGATACAGACGAATTATCAAATAATTGTGAGAAATATCTTATTTTCACAACTGGATCAAAAACTTACACACCACATCAAGTGTGTTTTAAAAGAATAAAAAATTTTAAGTTTCCTACACGAGTAGATCCAGGACCTTCATTGCGTGAAAGAATAGCACAAAGAGAAAGAGAACGAGAAAGACAAAATTCTAATGCATTTTTCACCAATTGGTTAGATTATGAATCGGTAGCTGACCAATTTGATAAAGTAGATCATTTAATTGATTTACATGGACATATTATAGGAATGGGACTTTCTCCAGATCATAGGTTAGTTATTCATACTATAAATATAAAATCTATATTTTCGTTTTTTATTATAAAATATTATGTATGTTATTAGATATCTTTATGTAAACACAAGGCCTTGGCCACGAGGTTACGTTATTACAAATCCATTACAACCTCCGCCGATAGCTCAAGAAATTGATATACATGTAATTGATTTAGTAACATTAAAACAAGTTGGTACTATGCTAAGAGCTCATAAAGCATATACACCAAATAACGAATGCTTTTTTATCTTTCTTGATGTGTGCAATGAATATGTAGCAAGGTAAATTTAATCAACATATTTTACTTAGATGCATATTTTTCTTATATTTAACTTTGTAATCTCAAAATTTTAATTATTAGCGGTGCTGAAGACAAACATGGCTATCTGTGGGACAGACATTATGGTGTGTGTTTAGCAAAGTTTCCTCATTCTGATGTTGTTAACTCTGTTGCTTTTAATCCACGTGATCCAGAAATGTTAGTTACAACTAGCGACGATTATACTGTTAAAGTTTGGCGTAGTCGAGCTATGGTACGTTCGCTAGAATTGAATGAAGATTCGTTCCGTAGAGGTATGGAAGTACGAAACAGACGAAAATTTAGAAAAAGTAGTTATAATGTTGATTGACTAAAAACTATTAAATTTCCGATTTAAATTTCTGTTTAAAGTTTTTGAAAGATATATCAAGTTACTTTGTCTGTATCTTGTATTTAAATTTGTAATATATTGATACCTCTATGAAATCATATGAAATTACAAATTCTATTTTCAATGCAGTTAGAATAAAAGGAAGTATGGTTGCATATTTACAAACTTCAATCTATAGATATTTACATATTAACTGTTTTAACAATTGAGATATGTAATATTACACATGTTTTATTTATAGGACACAATGTTTAATCATTTAAAAAAATTTATTTCTTTGTATAGTATATCGACGTTTATTAGAATTGATAGCAGATACAAAGCTGTTAAATATCTCGAAGCTGATTTGTTTGTGTACTTAAAGATTACTAAATTTCAGAATTATGTTGTATATTTTTAAACATTTATAAAGCATAAAAGTGGGAACCTTTTAAACACTTTCATGACAATTTAATTGACAATATTTCTTGTTTAGGTAATTGTTTGACTGATATATTTAAATTAGCTTAGAATAAGTTTTGATGGTACACAAGTGTTTAATATGTATATTATAAAACTAAAAAGTCTTCATTAAAACATATATAATTAAAATAATTTTCCAGTTTTAATAAAGCAAATATTTCACTTTTATACAAAAGAGAAAAAATGAAAAATGTTTCATTCTTTTATATACATATATACATATAGTGTATCATCAGAACTGTACATACAACTATTCTATTTATAATTAGATGTATCCTGAATAAGGAACTTTAACTTAGAATAAGATAACTTTGTAATAACTACTATAATGTAACATAAAATTACTCAAAATGAAGGTACTTTATTCACAAGGAAATACATATAGATAAATATTATAGCAAAAAGAATAACTAATAAAAAGTATAATTTCCTATTCATGTATAACCAAAAACTATTGAAGAAATGTTGGAATTTATATTAGAAATTATGAATATTTCCTTAAGAGTTTTGAGTCTATTAATAAACTTTTGCAATACTTACAGCAATACTTTTGCAATTTGTTTTTAAAGAACTTTTTACCACTCTCAAAAAGTTATAGAATGGTATGCATGATCTATATTATGTAATATAGGAACTATAATTAATTCTACTATGTTTAACAAAAAAAATGTATATATATTTTGCTGGAATTAGTTAATCACCTTAACTATTGTTGATAAATTCATCTTTAATCAATATACTATATAAATATTAAATTATGTAACAGGAATTAACCACGTAATTAATAAAATTCTATATTTTCTTTTTCTTTCCTTTCAATAATGCTATGCCCTGCCAATACCTTTTTCTTTATTAAGAATATAAATATTGCAAGCCTAACTTGCAATATTTATTCAAAAATATCATTGTCAATAGTATGGATATTAGTAATATAATTGTATTTGAAACTGTAATACTTCTTTGATATTTTAAATTTCCTGCAAATTTAAATTTAACTGTGTATTATATTATTATGTTTAATATAATATCAATAAAACATGAATTAGAGCAGCGTACCTAGTTTCCACATCTCTCTTCTATACAATATTGATTTATGAAATGTCTTTTCATTTAAGAAAATTATTTATGTCACCATCACATTTAAGTGGATGCATTTACTATTGATTCTGTAAAAAAGTACATAAAAATTATACTGTTTAATTTATATCCACATTTTCTTTGAGTATAATTTTTCTGAATAAAAGTACCAGGAGTAGGAGATATTTCTTCTTTAGATGTTTCTGCTTTGTGTGGTAAAATCTTTTTATGAGCATCTTTATGTCCATGACAATGTTCACATTCATCATCACTATCTTCAGAACTACTTTCACCAAAAGTTCTTGGCTTTTCATAAATACAACAACCTACAATATCATATCAACTATACATTCGTGTATACATATAACTATGTTAGAAATAAATATATTATCTTATTTATATGTTCTGTTACACCAAATTATAGATAATGAAAACTTACATTTAGATTTCTTTTTATTCATGTGTTCATTATCCACAGTGCCTTGAGTCCATTGAACCTTCTTATTTGATCTCGGTTTTCTGAGACATAACCGCACAGTTGGTACATCCTGAAAAAATAGGAGTGAGTAAAATAGATTCTTTTTTCTGTTGTGGTAAAATGGTAAAGAATATAATTTTAATAAAATGTACAAGTATGCTTGGAATATATTTATTTTTTATAAATGGAATACACATCATATTAAATAATAAGTAGCAACAAATGTTACGGGCATCAAAATTATTATATAAAATTATATTTCAAATTTGTATCTTAATGATACATAATTGGTTTGTATTGCATTATATATTGCACATATTCTTTAAACATTCTTCATTGTACAATCTTGTTGTTTTTTAATGATTTTATGCTATCATCGGTATAGTTTAAAACATTTTTTAATATTTCGTCCGTATGTTGTCCCACTATAGGAGGAGCAAATCGAACTTTGTTTGTAGCGTAACTATATGTCACAGCAGGACCAACAACTTTAACTTTTCTTCCTGTAGCATGTTCCGTTTCTTGTACCATTTTTATGTGTTTTATGTGAGGATCTTCAAAAACCTATAAAATTCCTTTGTATAACGACTATTTTCAAGTTATTTAAGCATAAACATTTATGAGTTTGTACCTGACTTATTTTATTTATTGGGCCATATGGAAATGAAGCACCTTCAAAAACAATTGCCCACTCTTTATTAGTTTTTGTTTTGAATACTTTTCTAAGAATTGGTAATAATTCATTTCTATTTTCCACTCTAGCCTTATTATTTTTATATTTCTTATTCTCTGATAATTCTGTCAACTTTATTCTTTCCAGAAAGTCTAAATATTGTGCATCACTTCCTGTTCCAACAGTCATGTGTCCATCTTTTGTAGCAAAAGCTTCATAAGGTACAATACTTTCATGTTCAGAGCCCCATCGTACTGCTTCTTTATCAGCATTTAAGTAATTTGATCCAATATTTATTAAACTAGCAACTTGTGTTGCTAATAAGTTACATTGAATCCATTGTCCCTTCTTAGTTGTTGCTCTTTGATATAGTGCTGCTAATATAGCACCATGAGCATACAAACCTGTTGCTAAATCAGTAACTGCTACTCCAACTTTACATGGTGGTCCATCTTTTGAACCTGTTATATGTAATAAGCCTCCTATAGAAGCGGCAATCACATCATATCCAGGTCTGTTTGCATAAGGTCCTTCATACCCATAGCCAGTCAGAGAACAATATACAAGATGAGGTGCTATTTTGGAAATATCTTCATATCCTAAACCCAGTTTTTTCAATTTTCCTGGGACATAATTCTCAACTAAAACATCGGACTTCTTTGCCAGTTCATATATTATATCTTTACCTTCTTTCAAATTTACACATATGCTTTTTTTGTTTCTATTTACACTAAGAAAATAAGTTGCTTCTTCTGTTCCTTTCATGAATGGTGGACCCCACTTTCGTGCCTCATCCCCAACACCTGGTTTTTCCACTTTCAAAATCTCAGCACCAAGATCACCAAGAATCATGGTACAATAAGGACCAGCAATAATACGTGTTAAATCCAATACACGAATTCCAGATAAAGGTGATCTATCATCTTGGTTACTTGTACACGTATACCTTAGATTTTTAATTTTATATTCACTTAATAAAAGTCTTCTCTTTGTATACTTTGTAACTAAAGCAAACATTGTGTACCATGTATACCGTTAGTAAACAATAGAAGTTGTTTTTTCAAACAACATTTATTAATCTTCCAACACTATAAATACGCGCCCAATTTCACTAAATTAATAACTTAAATCACCAAAATAGTTGAACAATGTAATGTTCATATTTTAACACTTCTGCACTGATAGCGCTTATCACAAGCACAATGTATTTAATATCTTAGAAATATAAAAACTGCACTTTTAAATTAAAAAGATTCTTATCATATCGAAAAATGACGTATCATAATAAAACTAAACATACCTGAGATCCAGAATCTGTGACATCTGTTTCTAAAACAGTTTCCGTTTGTGTTTGAGTAGCTGATTGTTCAGACATTATTGATCTCTCCATTTGGAATATATCTTCAGTAAAATAACACGGTAAAAATATGTATAATTGAATTTAATTTAGTACTGCGTTACTTTATACTATCATCATTCGTAATCTGATAAAAACGACGCCATATTTAAAAGTAGATAGAACTGTTTACTATTTGCACTACACTTCAGAGTAAAAAGATAGCTTTTCATTCAATTATAAAAAATAATATAACCATTTTTACATATACTCTTAACAATTTAAGCTAAACTGACAAATAATATAACAACTTGCCATGACAAAATATAGTTTAATTCAATTGGATTTATAACGTGTATTATAAATATTAATACATATTCATTTGATATATTTAAATTATTTTCAAAATAGATATTATGTCACTTGTAACTACCGTCCGTAAAGATGAATAATTTGCTAAACTGCCGTGAAGTGAGCGAATAAGAGATCTGCTGTATTTGTATGATTTCGTATAAATATTTGAAGTCTAATGCCCAATTTTACACAGAAATACATTTTAAAATCCATACTGGCGGTTAGGGGTTCTTCTATTAATGTAATACCTTTTTAAACTCTATTAAAATGGAGGTAAGATTTTATTTCAATTATAAAAAGGTTATACAATCATATTTGAATCCCATTGAACTGTACACCTATAGTATAAATTTAATGATAATAATATTTTTTCTAATTTATTTTTAGCCAATTACCAAAGTTCCTTTGCCATTAGAACCCATAAAATCAAATCAGGTGGAGGACAGAAGATTGTGGGTGGGCAATTTAGATTTAAGAATTAATGAGTAAGTATTTACTTAGATTATTTATTAGACTTTTAAAACATAATGCCTTAATGTTACAAAATTAAAATTTCTTTGTGCAATGAAAAAATCTGAAAAAACTAACTCTGTCTGTTAACTGGTACCAACTCCTAAAACTTGTCCAAAAACATGGAACAATCGAAAAGTTCGACCTCTTATTTCACCGATCAGGCCCACAAGCTGGTCTACCAAGAGGATATGCATTTGTTACGTACAAAACTATTCAAGATGCTAAAGCAGCTAAAGATGCTTTACATAACTTAAAAGTGGGAGCAAAAAACATTGTTGTTAGATGGGCTCATAGTGTGACAGAGGTAATTATTAAATTGATAATTCTATTAACTATTAATCTTTTCTGCATAACTGCTTTTTAATAAAATAATTTTATCGTTCCTTTCTATATATGTAATACTATAGCATTTATTTTCTTTAAGTGTGACATGGATAAACAAAAACCAAAAATAGATATACCTGCTTTAGCTGGTGCTAAAAAGGAAGATAAAAGAATCAGGTAAATTTTGGTTTATAAACATATAACATGAATGGTAGTTTTTAATAAACACTATTAAATGCTACTACAATCTGTTTAATAGTCGTGAAACAGCAATCCAAGCTATAGAAGCAAAGTTGAAGTTAATGAAAGAATCAGAGGAAGAGTTTGAATTAAATAAACCATTAAATGGATCACCTGTAATACATTTACATCAAAAGACAGAAAATCCAAAACCGTCCACGTCAACCCGTTATCAAAATCGAAGTAATCATTATCATAACAATAAGCCATACAACCGTCATAAACCAAAAAGATAATTTAAATTGTTTTTTTTAATTTATAGTGTTATGATTAAAAATAATCAATTTATTTTTACTAATCGGCATTTGTTCCATGACCATAGCTGATATTTATATTATTTATATTTTCTATTTAAGTAATTTCACTGTATTAATTACATTTTTTTATTATAAAGCCTTATACTTTTTAGTTGGTCTTTTTTAATCTCTTTTTCTACTATCAACATAATTCCTACAGTGGTGCAATTGCACATTAGATACACAGGTATCTTAATTCACTAATAATGTAATGCTTAATATGTACATTCACGTACATGTATTTTCATAATCTATGATATCTTTTTATAATAAACAAATGTATACTTTGAATACATATTTTATTGTAATGCAGAATGGTTCTTTTAAAGACTTTTTATATTTTCCACGCATATGAAATGGTAAGGGTACTATAGCAGGACATGGTACTTGACCAGGTATTACACACATACAGCTTCTAGAACAACCAACACCAAAATTAGCAGGATTATCTTTCTTTTCCTGTATTATAGCTTCTTCCCGTAATTTTTCCTTTGTTTTACCAACTGCTTTTACAAGATGATATAATATATCTTCCTTACACTTGCTATCTAGGTCAATTAACATGGTGTTTCCATTTTCTGTATCAAAT